ATTAATTTTTTTCATCCGTTTCTTAAAAATGTAAATGTTTGTCTCATCAGTTTGATGGTAGCTTTCCCCTTCTTCAACGAAACGAGTTCAAAATAATCCATTCGTATCAAACGTTAGTGCAATATTATTAATATTGTATCTTTGTAATAATTTATTTTTATATTAAAGTACTTTAACATTTTCTTTCAAAAGCTTTGCCTCTGTATTTTTCTTATAAACGGAATAAATGGATGACTGTTGTGTACATACACTAGACTAAACATGTTAAATAAATTATGAAAATTCGACATTTGTTTTTTATTTAGTCAGTTACAGACCACATCTGCATAATTAGCACACAGATATTCGATGTTTATATAGACGTTAGTATAAATTTATCAAATAGCCACTAATTAGCCCTAAATCCCTACTTGTTTTACAGGGTGTCAACGAATGTATTTTTTTAGTGTCAACGGCCTCGACTACTTTGTTCATCAGCCTCGTATTCTGAAATCCGACGTAGATTTCTTTCAAATATCGGATTTTTTCGTCAAAACAAGACTTTGACAACAGAAATTTTGACAGAATTTACGTAAAATTACCAATTTCAATATTTCCCAGAGATGTCAATGAAAAATGTTGAAGAATACACCGCCCCTTAGCGACAATGGACTCCTGGAATAGTTGATAACCACAGATATCATAATATATATACTAATATATAAATATTATTTGTATTTTTTAATATAATATAACCAAACCTAACCTATTATTGGTGGAATTAGAACCGAAATATTTTTTCAATTTTACCAATATGAAAAATAAATTCCACATGAAAAAATTCAAAATTGCTTTATTTACTGCTACTCTTTGACAGCACAAGCATGCCAATACATAGCATATATCTGTCACTAGATACCATTCTATACACATACCTGTGTTCGAACCACAGACTGTACAAGTATATCTATTATTAATGCGAAAGGTAAAAAGTTACAATTTCACCTCTGTATAGTTCGATATCCTGTGAAGTTCAAAGGCACCTTAATAGTGAAGTGGAACAGAACACTTTACTTTGAAATATCGATCACTTTTTTTGGATTTTATTAGTTAAGTTGCTGCCTTACTTATACACGAGTTTGTGGATTGTTTTCTGGTATATGTGATTTGAGATTCTGATCAATATCTCAGTTCATTCATAATATATACAGTTTGAACGATATATCACATATTTCAATCTCGAAATAGTACTCATCTAGGTATCATCAAAAAGTAATGATCTATATAATTTGTTTTTGTTTTCCACTACTGAGCACTCCTACCTAAGACGAAAGTACTTGTTTGCGTTGAAAGCTGCAGGAAAGCAAAACACGATCTCCATATCGAAAAAAAGGCTACCTATACTTGTCCCAATCAAAATTAATAACAATGAATTGACATTTGACATACAGATATAGATCAGTTTCCCAAAAGTGTTATCAGTTAGACATGATTCGTAGAGTAGAAAGCCATGTCCAACTCAAATTGCTGCAAATCATAAATAGCTCCCCTGCATGAAAGTTTTTCTTCACTCGATAATCGTCGACAAAGGCATAGTTTTACCGCAGGCTAAACACGCCAGACCAATTAATCGCTGTCAGTGATTTAGGTATATGCCTTGTTCATCCTAATTAATAATAATCTCTTGACAACATTAGAAGCATAATCTAAAGAAATGAACTTTAAATGTTCAAGCCAGTCTTGGATATACCTACACAGTAGGTTGAATGGACTGACGCCTATCAGAAAACAACTACTCCACTGGCTAATACCACGAACGGAGTTGGATTATATCCGACTGGCGTCAGTGCAGGAATCTTCACAAAAAATTTCCAGAATATGCAATTGGTAATACAACTTAAAGAATACAACTGAAAGAGTCGATCTTTAATTTTGGAACGGGCACACTTGCCGACCAGTATCGGGCTTCTTAGCCTCTCGTCAGTGCAAGATAGTGACCATCATCGACCTAAAGTCAATGATAATCCATAATTGAAAATCGAAACTCTTTCAGAGTATTTCATTCCTCGTCCTAAGTTGGAGCGAACAACAAAAATGTCACTCCATCTAGTGGACGAGGTACTAACAACTGCAAGTGTTGATTATAAGTAGGTGCAAATGAAATGGGAAACATTTGATACAAAAAGTTTATTTCTAACCTAACATATAATCTAACCTGGCCTACGGAGTTAAAGAGAAAAGCAGACTTGAGACCGTCAAATTTTGACTNCGCCTATCAGAAAACAACTACTCCACTGGCTAATATCAAGAACGGCGTTGGATTGTTTCCGACGAGTATAGCCCACTGACTAATAAGAAAAATTAGAAGCATATATTACATGGATATACACAGAGTATATTTCATTGGCAATACTTAGTACAGTCGTAAGCATAATTAAAGCATTGGAAAAGGACTTCAATTGTCGAACCTATTTGAATAGAAAGAAAAAAATTAAAGCAAAACAGTTGTACAAAGTACCAAGTAGCATTTTTCGTGGGTGGCATAAGCAAGAATTCTCAAATGTTCACGGTTAATCGGCTTGACATCATGACATGTCACACAGCATGGGCCTTGGTAATTTCTTGCTTACGAAAAGACCCTAAATTTATTTGGTCAACTCAGGGAAATAAAAATTGGGTGGATTTATGCTGAACACCCCTCAGCTTTGTTGAACTGCTAAGAACTACCGTCAACCACTTGATCGAATTAAATCGTATGCATACCCGTACGCAAGAGGCATTCATCTGATGAAACTGGGGGTTAAATTTCTGTAACCTATATTTTTTGTTGCATTTATTATCATTATTAGCAGTGATTTAAAATAATTAGAAACTTCGATTTCGGCAGGTTGTTAGGTCAAACAAATTTTATTCATCATGTTCACTAACAACTCGACGAAATTTTGAGGTTAACACGCCAAGATTGTCAAAAATGTCATGGTTACCGTTCCATGATGAATGTTTAATTTGAAAGAATTCTGTGATTAGGTAGGTCCTGCTTGCAAACCAGGCTTGAGTATGTATGACGTAATATGTATTGCCTATTTCAACGGCGCGCTCTTTTACTCGCTGGCAGATGGAGATGGAGTAAATGTAAGGCTTCGAACGAAGTGAATTTAAATGTGATTTTTCCCCTTTTGAGTTAAAGGTCTTCCTCGCCCTTTACATTATCCACGGTACTCTTCCACTACCGCGTTCACGTCGAACTACTCGTAGATTTTGTTTAGTTCTAAGGAACATGAGGGCTGAAGTGGTATGGGGATGTGTAAACCGAAATTTAGGATCTCCTGAGCAACTCATCAACCACCAACCCCATTAAAGCACATAGGAGGGGCAAGGAGGGAAGTGAATAAGAAATTGCTAATACATTTTTCGGTTTAGAGAGTCATGTATACAGTATACTAAGTATACTGTGGTCATGTGCTCCTGTAGGCACTCCTCGTGAGATTTCAAGACCAAAATCTGTAAAAAAAACGCAATTGAGGAATTTTAATTTAGTAGTTGAAGGCTTTCACTGGTTTTGGGTGGATGCTGAGGGTGGCAATTTTTATAAGATCGTGAGAGATAACAAAAACAGCACCCTCTACTGTCAATATGTAATGACGACTGGCACGTTGATAGTGAACTGTTAAAAATTTAGCCTTGCGCTCTGGGGGAGTTCATACCAATCCCTCAGAGGTTCTTCAAACCAAATTTGAACCATCTAGCATATACCATTCCAGCACATGATAGGATATTGATAATTTGGACAATATATCATGTACTCATGAATATGGGAAATAGTTTCATGCACTTATAAAAATCGTATAGAAAACTCCAACAGATTAGATGAAGATCGAAGTGATCTCATCAGGAAAAACATTCAAATGAAACAAAATGGGGTTATTGACTTGTTTATTTCAATGACTTTGTTTCAACACTGAATGGTTTATTTACATAGATATCTACAAAACTGGATTATGGAAAGTTTGACAACCGTTTTTTTATTTCTTATGACAAAATAAATTTATTTCAGGAACTTCTCTTTAATAGCATTTTGCCGATTGGCTATGGGTTGACTAATATTTATGAGCAAACTGATATTTTGAATGGAGATATCAAATTTTCAATTGATGACAGATTTTATGAAAAACTAATAAAAGTGTTATATAAATTTATAATTAATGGAAGAAAACTGTATATTAATTCGAATGTGTAGAATGAATATAAGGATTGTTTATTATTTAACAATATAATTTCCAGAAAATGTGAGTAGGGCATAAAGAGTGCATATACTGTAGAGAATTTCACTTTGAAAGGAGAACATAAGTAGCAGGAGATCACATCACATCAGGGAAAACTATGGTAAATATTTATTGAATATCATTTGGGTGTATAACTATATATAACTACCTACCCAAAGGATATTTGATGAAAATTCACAACAGTTTTCCTAATGCTCGTCATGTTATAAAACGAAGAATTATTAGGTATACCTAATGAGACAATACGTATCACTTCTGTCAGTCGGACTTTGACTAAAATTTGTAACAGCAGCTCCTTGCGCCTCGCACTCTTTCCTGACCCTGTTGATGATATCTGCCACAAGCTTCTCTTCTTTCACTCTCTGTTCCTCCCAGTATAATGAATTAAATGAAAACATTTTTTCCACACCAGAATTACAACATTGTCTAATAAGTCATTTGATTCATTCAACGCCAAAAGTTTCAATTCAACCTATAAAAATTACAGTGATTCAATCTTGGTTCAATTTGCCATCACTGAAGTTTATGGAAATTAAAATTTCATTGAAACAAATACATGTAAATTATTTTTCAACCATATCGTTTCCAGAAATGCAAATTGACTACAGTTATTCCTTATTTTGGTGTTTTGCCTGAGTCACATCTTAAAATTGTAATTCTTTACTTTTTGAAGGTATAATTTTCATTATTTCTGTGAATCACTTCTGATAGTTTTTGAGCTGTTTTTTTTTTTGGAAAAAAGAATTGTTCATACCTGACCCTTTGAATTCATAAGAAATAATTCATTATTTCTTTCAAAAATTTCAAAACAAGGATACTAAGAAGAAAGTTCAGAAGTACTCAAACTGATTTCACTATTGTACCAGTGGTACAGATATAACTGAGAGGCTGTGTGTGTTGGATTGAAAATATACAGAATGTTACATCTGAAAAAGATCCTTGAAAATTTTGAAATGTATTGACAATTGTCAAAAATTGCATATGTCAGATACTCAACAAATAAGAAACTCGATTGAACTAATCAAACTTATTTTTTCAGTTAAGCTGAGTTTAAGAGAATGGAAATAATCCAGAAAAGCTATTACTTAGAACGAAAGAATGGAACTTGAAAGAATCAAAAAAGTAAAACAGGGAAGTATAAAAATGTGGATTAATTTGTTACATCACCTCTCTAACAGACTGTTGAAGAGATGTGGTATTGAAAAATATCACTGAAGCATTTAACTGCAGGGGGCTCTAAAAAACTTTGCAGAAACCGACTGGACCAATGTAGTTTTCCCAAATTCCCACAATATATTCCTAAAATTGTAGAGTTCCTACTAAACAATTTTTTACATCTTCAGTAGTCTAATGACATCAATTTAGAAGTGCTATTGTGACATTAATACTAGAATTCACATCCATATCATGGATTGTATCAGCCAAATTTGTCACAAATCTTTGATTTATATCTGAATTTCAAATTTTGGACAGAAAATCAGATATTTGACAAGCAAATACAAAATCAATTTTGATGCCTAAACCTAACGATTTTAGTTGATGTCTAAAGACAAACTCCAAGAACCCAAAGGAAAAGTATGACGTGTACCATTTACTAACAAATTAGAGTATGGAAGCACACCCCAATATTTCCAAAGGAATTGTATGATCAGCAGTGACAATTGATCAGAAGTAATCAGTAGTTATATTAGTGAATAAATAGATTTAGTCAATTGATAGACCCAAAACGAAAGTGTTTTCCCATCACAATATATAAATATTGTGTTCTGACTGTTGGGACCGTCTATATAAACTAGATTACTAATAAATTGACAAGACAGAAGTGAGAAGGTAGCTTATTCCTTGTTTTATTCGTGTAATCTGAAGAGCTCCTAATGGCTTACTGTGTTAATTTTGTAGACTTACTAGGAGCCGTTATTTGGACTACATATACCATTTGTAGATATGAAAATATAGGACGCTTACAACTTCAGTTCACTGCAGAAGGTTTTTGGAGGAGTAACACTAGAAAATATTCAGGAATCAACCTACAGAAAAGTAACTCGGAAAGGTGATCAACCTGTTTTTTTGACAAGGTTAGGTCAAGTTAACGATTCTTCTAATATGGGATTCGCAGCACGTTAAAAGGTAGGTAACCTAGGTTAGGTCAAGGTTGGATGAATTTGCAAAATCTTTTCAATACTTTACAATCTACAATTTATAAAGACTAGCCCAAAAACTATTCAATGTTATGAAAGTCAATAGAGGATTAACCAAAACTAAAGATAATTATCCCCTTTCAGAAAAATTATTGATTTAAGTTTACAATGGATAATCCAATATGTCTGGGAGTGATGAGTCATGCTATTCTTTTGCAGTATAAGAAAATTCTGATATGGGAGAAAAAATAATTTATATAATCTATCAGATTTTACTTTTGGGAGTATGTAACATAGAAGTATCAATTATATTTCATTCCATGAATTCATGTGTTGAAAAATGTATTGATTTTTTTTAATAATTTTATATTGTTCCATGAGGGACAAACAAACGTTTTCCAAATGGTAAATTCTGATGAATACTGGTATACAATAAGTAGGTGAGCAATACTGACACAAACAACAAATTTGGCACATCATATGAGTAAGTATCTAGCTCCAAAAAAAAGTGAACAAACAACAAAATATCTACTATCACCAGGATTTAACATATTGAGCAAGAATATTTGGCACATCAATAAATGCTAGCTGAAAAATATGAGCTAATGTCACTAAAGTATACAAGGACAATAATATCATAACATATAAAACATTAAAAATATCAGGAGTTATCACTATCATATATATGAGAAAATTGAGCTCTCTATCTAGGTTTATTTACATTCAATATCATATTCCAATATGGATGAAATTTACGGGAATATATACGCATTTGCAGAATGTTTGAAAAGTTAGTTGACTGATATTTTAAGTTGATATTGAAAAATGTAACACCAAATGTATCCAGACAGCTGAGGATATGAGTAAATATTTTGCATATGTTGAGATCTATTTTTTGTCAATAAATTATTGCAGAAAATATATGATATACTTCTGGGTCTTGAACCAACACCTCTTGTTATTGGATTCCCGGGTATTTCAAACTGTCTGGATAGAAATAATCATTTAAAGATTTATGATTCTTCACACTAAACCGAAAAGAATGCTTATATAAAATTTGAACTACTCGATGAAAAAATACTGTACAATAATACTCCACTTTGGCACATAAATTATTACTGATGAAACTTCAAGCAGTATTCATGATAGAAGTTGATCTCCTACTGTACCCTCTTCTTGTAACAGCAGCTCCTTGCGCCTCGCACTCTTTCCTGACCCTGTTGATGATATCTGCCACAAGCTTCTCTTCTTTCACTCTCTGTTCCTCCCAGTCTACGGTCTTTTCTCCTTTCTTCCTTGTAGGTACCGAAATTGGATTGGAGCAAGTTTCTACGATTTCCTCCTTCACGACCACTTTGATTTCTTCTTGTTCTTGAGGTTCTGAATGCCTGGTGGCGATATGTCCCATGTAGCCTTTTCGGCTTTTGAAAAATACGTTACAGTGGTGGCACTTGAACAGCGGGGCAGGATTGACTAGATTATTATTTCCGTGTAACTTGTACTTGTGCCGATACCAGTGTGTCCTAGACGCTAGAACTTCACCGCACAGTTTACAAACAACACTTCCATCTTGTCGTATCAGGTATTCAAGCAGCTCGTTCTTCTTTCGTTCGTAACTCTCACTGTCCATTTTTGATGAGATATTTTCTTCATCCGTGAGGAAATGCACTCCGGCACTGTGTTCAGGTTCTGAGGAAGGTTCATATTTCTCGTCTACTTCGATGCTTTCGTGAACCATGTTACGTGCTGCTTCGGTTGAGATAATTACAGATTCCTGTTTGATTGGAGTGATGAGTTCTACAGTTAGCGAGGAAGGAAGATTGGTGTGGTTTTGGTTATTTTCTTGATAATCGTAGTACTCTTCTGGAAAGAGATGGATTTGTTAGTAGTGTTAGTAGGTAGAATTGTTCAATTTTAAAAATTTTATTCATGAGTTAGTGTTAGTATATTAGTACGTAGGGTTTATTCAAGAATAACTTAATTACTATTATTTCATAATCCCGATTAGGTGGAAAAAGACACAATTTTGAATCCAATATAAAAACCGTTAGGTACATCACAAGATGTTTCTGTCTGTATTTGAAATTTTTTGTTGATGAAGGTGTTTGGAACATATCACNAAGATGTTTCTGTCTGTATTTGAAATTTTTTGTTGATAAAGGTGTTTGGAACATATCACTTATCATTTTGAATTGAGTTGTTACCTATAGTTGTTTTGTCTTTATATCCATAAATATCGGTACTCTAGGGAAGAGAAAAATTTGAGAGCATATAATGTTTGGATTCTAAGTGGAAGATGAAGAATCTACCTATACCAAAACAGCCATCCACAATATTGTGGATGGCTGTGGATGGCTGAATAAAATAATAGTATTATTTATTCACCTTGTAAGTGTAGCAAACATATCGTCGGGTAACAAGCAAAATACATCAAGTCAAAAAATGTACTTTTGAATAATTTGGCTTGAAAGTTTTTCATTTTTCATTTTCTGTTATATTAACATGTCTTGAAATTATTTTGGTATTTTATGAATTTAAAATATATTTTACACATGTATGGAGTAATAAGACTGGAAAAGCAGTTTAATTTAATCTTCCAATAATTATTTTCGTATTTTATGAATTTGAAATATATTTTACACATGTATGGAGTTATAGGACGGGATAAGCAGTTCAACTTAACCTTTCAAAATCATTTTATTCGAGGTGATTGGTAAACAATGCATTGACTTAATGTACTTCACATGTAAGGGTAGACTTAGTGTATTCAACGTGTAATTTAAAAACAATAGACTTATTATACTTATTTCAATTTATGTATTATCAAAAGTAAAAATACTTATCATTGGAGGATAAGTAATAATGTAGGAATGGTAATAAAAACAAACTCAAAAATGAAATCCTTAAAACTATTTTAAATAAAATTGAACTAGTTCATGTTTCAATCTTCTTGGTCAGTATCATTTTCAGCTGGTTCGGTTGTTTCATCCAATACAGAAGATGAACAAGGCAAATTTTTGTACCAGTCACGTAGTGTCTACCAGCCCTTGCCATATTCATGCACACTGAAAATATCAATATGACGTTAAGCTGACTGAATTGAGCTGTGCATCGAGTCCACCTCCATATAAGAATATTCACTTTCCATAAACTGTTTTCCGATCAGGTACCAATTTCACAGCTTCCACGCTTTCCATTCACTTCTGTCGAAAAATAACAAAAGGCCTCGTTTGGTAGAGATGATTTATAAATGGTGAAATTATACAAGTTCAGTTTACGAAGATAGTGCAATAAACTAATTTGTGATGTCGGGATTTGAAGTACACTCTGCATATCACGTATTGTAGATTTAAAACTTCTATCACCAGTTACCTTTTTTTATCTTAATCTTTTTCTTTCATAAACTCTTCTTTCCTTCTTAAGTGTTCCTGGCACTTTAATTTTAAATTTTCTTTATCCACAGCCTGTTGATATTCATTGCAAGTGGAACATTGGTCTTTTTTGGTTTAAAAAAGAACATATTGTATTGGGAGCAAAATATTCTGCTATAGATAATTAGACCTACTCCTGGCCATTGATGTTTTTTACATTCTTCCATAAATAAATCAAACATTTTCTCAATATTAAGATTAGGATCTAAATAGAGGCGTTCAGTGGACTTTCTTGTGTAATGGCTTTCAACAACAGAAAAACTCTCAATGTGTTCTGTTACTCTTCTTATTACATCTTCTGGCGTTTTATTGGCCGGAACTTTTCGACCTCTCTTGTCTGTTCCACTGTACTCTCCAGATTCACTCCTATTTTGAAATGCATTCAAGATGGGAATGTTTGAAATACATAAAGTTTTGCAAAAGAATGACCGACAAACTTGATATTTGCATTCCGTATTAGTGAAAAAATATGACTTCGAATTACTTCTCTGCTTACTTTGTTCTCCTTTTCGAGGTCGCCGATATTTCACTTCTTCACTTCACTACGACATTCATAAGTATGAAATCTTTTTGACTCGAGTATTCCAGATTCCAAAATGTCTTGCACAATACCTTACGATTGTCTTCAGAAAAATGTTTCGTATATTTATAACGGCACTTCTAACAACCCACTGGCTTAGGAACTTTGGGATTTTGTATTTTTCCTACTACACTTTTATAGGGTTGATCTTGGCTTCTTTTTTTCTTTTCAATAGTTCTCTTCCAACTTGAAGACCTTGCAGTGTTCCATCTACTTTTTTTAAGCTCGTTTCTTTTACCATTTCAGTCCTAAACTCTTCATCTTTGTTGTTTTCTTCATTTGTTGAACTGCCATCATCATTTTCTGGTTTATAGTCCTTATCTTTTGAAGAATCGTCCGAGTCTTCCAAATCTGACCTATATCCTGCTAGTTGACAATTGCTAGGTCCAGTTAGTGTATTTTGCCAGAACCAAATACGTTATTAGTGACTTAATGGAAATATGAATTTTGCAGAATAATGTACTAGGAAGATCTCGAATGACTTGGTGGATTTTACCATAAAGAAATTTTATGAAATGTGACAAGATAGTGTGAATAACTCAAAAGTTAAAAAGAGGACTTGGTGTGTTTTGCTTGTAACCCGACGATATACTGTACTGTATACTTTGTTTTTAGGGATTGAATCTAATCATAAATAATATATTAGTGTATAATAATTTGATAATGAAAGTATAAGGTTACTTATTCATTGAAAAGTGTAATCAATATCATTCCATTACCAAAATTTTAGGCATCTATAAGATACTATATTTACTAAATAGGTAATGCTTTTGAACAAGCGATATAAAATATCAACAGAAGTATAGATTTAAGTTCAAAAAAGTTTCACAAGTTTCACTTTAGTAATTCATCTTCTGACAATAGTATTTATACTAAAAACTGGGTCATTGTTTCTTACAAATCTCGCAACCTACAAAACATTTCCGTTTCAACGGAATAATAAACCGTTTATAAATGCATTGCTTGGAGTAGACTCGTATTCAATGAATGTGAATAACTTTCAAATAAAAAAAATAAATAATACCAATAAATTACGATATTTCCTCCTCCTCCGTGACAAATTTTGATCAACATATAAACCTAAAAATTTCGTTGCCTGAATATAATGAATTGTTACCTATTAGTATAGATACACCGCAGTTCACCTTAAAGCAACTTTTATGAGCATTAATATGAACATATTGTTTCCTATCTTATAAATATTCTGGAACAATTCAATATTCCCTCTAATGCCGATATTGCCAATTTTCTCATTGAAATTTCATGGTCAATAGTATTGCACGATTTATGGAGATCTGAAGGTGAATGGCAATACTGTTCATTACTATCAAATTCGATTTGTATTTATAAAATATCCATTTCTTCTGTCTCTGACACCATCATTTATTACATTATTTTCCAGATAATCAAGTTTCACGTGCAAGTCTTTCCAAAATTCTGGGATAAACTCGGGTTTGAATTCTTTCAATGATTCACTCTGTCAAATAACATGTTGGAATAATCCATCTAAGTTTGCCTCTCCCATACATAGTCTTACATTACCCAGTATGAGAAACGGCAGGTGGGAGATATTTATGTTACGCTGTTTTAATGTAGTTCATTTGTAACACCATCACTACCTAAATACGGTGGAGTTCCTTCTTCTATTGATGAACAAACATTTAGAATAATCCTCTTGAACAACCAATGACTCAATAGCAGATGAAATACTTCTGTGAGAGAAGTATCATCAACAAAAAAATCGAAAATGATTATTAGAGGTAGATTTATTAATAAAGAAAAAGTACATTAAACAAACAATAATTAATTTCTTAGTATATACTTTGTGAATTGAAAATAAACTTAATTACAATTATATTGTATAATACATCTGCACCAAAGTGTCACTAAAAATAATATAACGAGAATAAACATGAAACAATATTGATCGTACTACACGTGATACTATAATTATTAAAGCAATAGAGAAAACTATAACAATCATTTCGTGATCACATAATAAATTATTCGTAGCCAACAGCATTTTAGTCAATATTTAGCAAAGTTATATTCTACAGGGTGTTCTGCAAGCGGTGAAAATGAATACCCAACTACAAGTTTAAGAAACTCGAGAAAAAATATAGACGTGTTTTTTAAATTTCATGTCACTTGAGAATATTTTCTCTGTTGGTGGATAACTTCGGTGGATAATAACAAACTGACTTTGTTGAAGTTCCAAAGGGTTCAATTTTGAGGCCACTTCACTCAACCCTAGAAAAAAGCAGTAACTAAAACAAAAGGATAACTTCATTTCAGTTTGCTTCAGAAATAGTAGCAAAACCACATTGAGATTCTTCGTTGAATGTTGACCTATGAAGATGGCAACCAAAAGTTTTACTGTAAAAAGAACAATGTACAAAACTGTTTTCATAGAAATATTAGAGGATTCATGTTGTCCCAAGCATTACGTTATTGAAAATTTGGCCATCTTAATTGGTAAAAACTGACAAACTAACAAATATTACACTTCCACCCGAAAAACTTATGAATATCTGGATGTTCCAACAAAACAAGAGTTGTATGATGATCTAACCTTATTTTTTTTTAAACAAGTAGTAAAGAAACGAACAGAGGAGAACAGTTTCTCCTATACTTCTATTTAAATAAATACCAAGTGATGTTTCATAAAACAAGCCTCCTTACAAAAACCCAAGTGCCTAGATTCAAAATAGGAGAAAATCAACAGACATTTCAAGAAACCAAAGCGACCTCTGCTGTTTCTAGCCTCACCCTTGAATACTGCAAAAAAACAAAATATTCCCATATTTCCTTTTATAAAAATATGCCTTTGAACTTGCTGATCAAAATTAACC